TGGACGCTTAACAAAGAATGTTATTCACTGTAAGCCCTTTATTATTTTTATTGAAGTGTAGTCTGATAGTTCTGAACCAATTAAACCGTCATCTTATAAACTCCGTTCGTGCTTCTTTGGATGTTGACAGTGCAACTCTTTTAGATAAAAAAAACCTGCTCCGAAAAAAACAAACTACAATACAAGCGACGATTAATTGCCGGAATTCTTCGCCGCATTAGACTTCTTTACCTTTGTCTGTTACCCCACGTAGAGTAGCATAAGCTGTCCACCAGCATTCTCCATCCAACTGGCCTGAGCCATCCTTTCCGGTTTTTTCCAGTTGCCATTCATCTTTCTCATATCTACTCCCAATTCCCAATATAATGTGTTCTTCGGTTTTCTTCTTTTCTGTTTACCTTCGGGATTCCAAGTTACCATATGCTTCGTGATGCAGTTTGATGATTTCCGCAATGTATGTCCTATCCAGTTCCACCGAACTTTCCTAATTTCATTTTCAGTTGGAAGCTCTTTCAAAGTAGGCTCTCGCTGATGGTATCCGGCCAAATGATAGTGAGTATCTAGCTTAGACAATTGTATTTAAATACTTGTACCTTTTTGGTTGCAATAGTTTTGCACGTTTCAGCTCTGTACAATAGAGCTGTCTTGAGATTCGTATTGAGGATTGGAATTTGATATTGGTTGAAAGTTGTTTTGAGTTCCATGAGTTCTTCAATTGTAGGAATGCGGACATTGCTTTGCCAATCCTTGCATATACGTCCTCATCGGACCATCCACATTCATCGATGATGCCGTCCAGGCACGTGGAAGTTTTTACATCTTCCACAGCTTTTCCACCAAGAGTGATTGCGCTGAATTTCGTTGTTGTATTCCAGGATTGTGCTTTTCCCCGTGTATTTTAGGGCATAATGATGCAAATGCTGCTTCTATACTGGCTTTCCTCGCCTGCAATTGTCTAGCGACCGTCTCGGGAAAAATGTCAAAGGTTTACAGGAGTGGTTAACCCATTGTTGTAAGACACCTCCGATTGCTGATTCGGATGCGTCTACTGCGATACAAATGGGTGCTTCAGTGTCCTGATGTGCAAGCATTATTGCTTTAGCAATAAGGTCCTTAACTGTGGAGGATGCTTCTCGCGTGGTGTCGTCCGGATTGATGGATTTCGCACTTCCACGAAGTTGATCGGTTAGCGGTTTCATAAGTGACGCGCAGTTCGGTATGAATCGTCTATAGAAAATCACCAGGCTGTTAAATGTGCGTAATTGCTTGATGGTGTTCGGCTCTGGGTAATCCAGAATGGCTGCTGCTTTAATTCTAAGGGGTCGGATGCCGTGCGCATCTTTAGTTTGTCCTAGGGAGTCCAAGGAATCAGTTCCGATTTAGCATTCCCGAGTGGTTACAGTAATGCCTTCTTAGGGACCATGTGCGACGGAGATACCATGGGCAGTCTTGTGATATCTAACTCTGTCATTAATATAATTCGTTTGTAGCTAACTTCAGCTTTTCGGAAGCCAGTCGGCGCGCTCTCGAGAATACAGGTGGTCCTGTAGTCGTGATGTGACGTGTAACGTTGCTGGTTACACACGGTAATTTCGGTTGCGGTTAGTATATCCGAGAATAATTATCTAGTATACGTTGATAGAATGAGTCTGTCGTGTGTCTGACTTTGACAGGAGATAATCTGCAACCGGGAAAAGAAGTTATGCGAGCAGATAGTTTGGCGTAAACTCACTTTAAGGTAAACGTACCTTTTGCCACATGTAGAGATAGGCTTTCCGTCTGCCACCTGCAGGTGTGAAACAGATTCGCGAAGCCGGTCGTTATAATTCTCTGGAAGAACGCTAACGTCTGCGCCAGTGTCGATGAGGTACCAAACTCTCGTTATCTTATCTGTGATCTGTAACAGACGGCTATGTTCGCCTGCTACGGTTGCCGTTAATGCGTGCCGGCTTGGAAGTTTCCCGAATTGTTTTTGTTATATCCTGATGAGAAAAATAAATGGTAATTTTCGGGATCCATTTATGGACCGATACTACGAGTATATTTTTATCGTATAACTGTCATGTTACTAAACTGTTTATATTCATGTTCCTTTCGTTATGAGTTTTGATTTGACCTATGAACTATTATTATACGATTTACCATTCTTAAGTTATGGCCTGTCTGTTAATTACTATCTCCCTCATTCACAGCCACTTTTGGCCAAATATTGTACAAATGTTATTTTTTATTTTATTGTACGTTGTGGTCTGTTTGATTGGTATATAAACCCCGTATGTTGGAAATAAATGATTCATATTGCAGAGGCTGAGATTTGTGTTCTGGACTCAACTGGCTGGGCTAGACAGGGAAGCAGGACCAATCAGGACTCTAGGTTGCTCGCACGTGTTTATGCGCCACTGGTTCAATCGATAATTCGCTGCTCTCTGATTGGCGGTATCGTTGCGCTATCCAATATACAGTGCACACAGCTTCACAATTTATAAAATTTTTCGTGTCGGTTGGTTTTGAGTTTGGAAACCTGCAGGGTTTCTGCAATCTCTGGAGGACTTTTCATACTGGTTATGATACCAGCACCAGTCAGGGTTATCAGTCTCCCGTGGTCTAGAGACAAATCGCCTGCGTGAAGTGCTTCTTCACAGTGTGTGTGACCGTTTACGGTTATTACGAAATTGCAAATAACGTGTAATTGTACGACATAACTCTGTTATGTCATTCTGGGTCGTTTGAGGTTTTTCTTTAAATGAAAGAACTTCGGCATTAGAGAATTTCGTGATTTCAAGGATGTGGTCAGCTCGTTTACGGAGTTGTTTTGAAAGGAGAACAGAAGAGCTTGCACCTGTTGAGGAAGTCTAGATATGGAACGTTGTCTGAATAATCCATCATCGAAGGTTTTTGGCCGATAACCTCTCTCATTCGTTGCAGCATGTCTGTCGTAGAACCATGTTGCAGGCCGGTGTTATTAAGGAGTTAGTCTAACCGTTGTCGATTGGTTAGATCTCCGCGTTTAGGGATAGGTCGTTTCAGTTTTTCATATGGTTCCAAACTATCACTAGTAAACATGCTAGATGTTATGTACCCGTTGAATTAGTGAGGTAGTGCCCTGGCTACTTCGAGGGATCGTGCACGTGTGTCGATCACGCCGTGCTCACAGAAGTCAGCTTCCGCGTAGCAGAACCAGGCTTCGATGCTGTCTGGCTAGAAGGGCATTAGCTGAAACGAAGGTGGTGATATAGTCTCTAACTTAAGTACCTTAGGTGTCTGTTCAGCCATGATGAGACATCAAGTACGAGAATGAACGAGCGAAGAAATATATATATCCAAAACACGGAAAAATACCACTATATATAAAAAATTAAAATAAGGCAATGATATATAAAATCCCAATTTGATGTACCAGATCACGTTAGGCTCATCAACGAAGATGCCACGGGTATTTGTAATTTGGCAACGCTTTAACCAGTAACACCTTCTTATATGAATCGTACCCTCCAAGTGAAATCAAAAGACAGAAACGAGGAGGTTCGAAGATATATTCGATAGTCTATCAATATATCGTGGATCGACTGATCTAATCTGGGTAGCGACTGCAGGGGATGTTGAGCACGGCGTTCTCACTCTTGATCTGGTACGGATGCATGACCGAGCGCCTTCAGCTAGGTGAGTGCATGAAAACCAATGTGGTCAGCATTCAATGTCGTAAACTTACAGAGCTATTTATTTTGGGGATTTACTCACCGCTGGAGTTTGTATGGAACACAAGGTTCAGATTATTTTCAAAGTTCAAATCGTCAAGTTGCATGCAAGCCGTCCATTGTATTCCGTGCTTCCCGTCAGATGTGTCGGTTTTCATAACCCAGTCAACCGCCAGGTGAGTGGGAGTGGAAATAAGTACACCGTACACGTACACTGCAATGCTAACGACGGTTTCATAAGGTTCTCCAATTCACACTGTCAAATGTTTTTCATAGTCATAAAGGTTGGTGTATAATGACAGGTTCCTTTCAATTGATAGTCCAACAGTGATCCGTATTGTCGCAATTCAGTTTGTGCACGACCAATCCTTACGTAATCTAGCCTGTTGATCTCGAAGTTGAGTGTCTACTGAATCTTTCATCTGGCTCAAATACACTCTGTTGAAAACCTTTCCTGATACTCATAGTAGTGTGATTTCTTTGTAGTTTTCACATTTGTTCAAATCTCTTTTCCTTGATACCCTGATGAGGTGTCCTCCTTTTTAATCTGTCGACAATTGTTCTTCCTCCCAAGCATTCCTGAATAGAATGTGGAGCATGTTTACAGTTGCGTCCACGTGTGACCTCAGTGATTCAGCTCGTATGTTGTCGCGTCTTGATGCTTTCTCACTCTTGACGTGTCTGATGGTCAACCTGATTTCTTCCGTTGTTGGTGGAGTGACATCTATAGGAAGGTCTGCGTGTGTTGCTTCGATGTTCAGTGTGTTCAGTGTGGATGGTCTATTCAAGAGTTCCTTAAAGTTTTCTACCCATCTGTTCCTCTGTTCTTGAATTTCAGTGATTGACTTACCTTCTTTGTTCTTGACTTTTATCTCCGGTTTACTACATTTTCCCTGCTAGATTCTTTCTTGTGTCATGTATTTGTCTTGCATTTCCGCTATCGTTTTCATGTCTTCCACGTATTTCTGATTGTCAGCTCTAATGCTCCATTTTCTCTCTCTTATTTGCTTCTATGTATTCGGTCTTTGCTTTAAATTATTATTCGAAGGTTAGGAAAAGTGGTGCAAAAGTCCTTCTTAGTGCAGATCGAATGCTACCGACCAAGTTGCAATGTGACCACCAGTCTTGGTGACACGACACTGCGTGCACTATGTTGAGATAAGATGGTGGCTGGAGGTGGTCAACAGGAAACCCTGGACTCGGGTTTCGTGCCACTTGTCATACTCGTCAGTAAGGTGTACCTGTAATCTTGAGGGAACTGGTTCTCCCAGCTTCCCAGATCTATGTAAACTGAACTTTACACTATTGAATATCAATGAATCAGTATATTTACTATGTGAAAAGATTTACAATACAACACAACACAACACAATACAATTAAGTACTTATAACTGATAGATATACATAATCAACTAAGTTACTCTTCAAGATACGATTCAATGTCAGATATATATCATTTTAAGAAATTAATTATGTACATTGTGCTCATTGTACTTGATCAAATCATTACTCGTTATGTAACATTGTTTATGAAATTTCACTGATAATATTAAGTTTCTCATATAATCGACTTATTAATGCAATTAGAATACATTTAATCAACTTGATTTGTATTAAATTCATTGGAGATATTTCATTGAATTTATCCGTTATAGATATAATACTATTTATATTGAAAATATAAAGTAAATCTTTATAATCTATATTTATTAATGTATCAATTAAATATGGATATTGTTCAGTGAACCAATCTATAATAAATAATGATCGAATAATTGTGGATATAGATTCTTCTTTATGTTCCATATTACTACTACTACTACTACTACTAGTAGTAGTAGTAGCAGTAGTAGTAGTAGTAGTAGTAGTAGTAGTAGTAGTAGTAGTAGTAGTAGTAGTAGTAGTATGAGTATTAGTGTTAGCACTAGTAGTATTAGTAGTAGTATTATGAGTAGTAGTGTTGGCATTAGTAGAATGAGTAGTATGAGTATTAGTGTTAGCATTAGTAGTATGAGTAGTATGAGTAGTAGTGTTAACATTAGTAGTATGAGTAGTATTGGTTATTTTTTTTGAATTCATTATATTAAATGTTGTAGATGCATGAGCTAATAGACAATTTAATAAATAGATTATTGATTTATTTGATTTCATGATAATCATATTATGAATGATAAGTTTTATCCAATCATCTTGATGAACAATTCCATTGAGATTGTTTGTTCTATTCAATATGATTGATAAATGTGATGTGTTTAATATAAGTTCAGAAAAGAAACAATTAATTTGATCATTGAATTGATGTATGAAAATACCAATTTCAGGATGATCATTGAAAATACTTCTGATTGTTGATACTGTGATTGCATATGGATCATTTTTTGAAATATCTTGTAACCATTGATCAACATGGACATATTCTTTACTCATTATATCCTATATATAAATGGATAATTGATTCATATGAATAGATTCAATGAAAAAATAGAAAAACATAATGATAAAAACTCATATTGCTTATGAATTCAATGGAGGAAACTAAATTAACGACAAAATTATATCTGATGATAGTTAACTTTATTAAGTGACTTTAATTAGACAACTATTGTGCAGTAGGAACAACAACAGTGTCGACCTACTGATATGCTTGAATACTATTACGAGTTCGTTATACTCGATAGACGAAACGAAAGTCAAAGATACAGTGACACGATAAGCTATTCTAATCCGTTGTCCCCGGCCCTTCTAACTAGATCAAGAAGTTTTGATGAGGCATCCAGAAAATACGAGGTCACTAAGCACACAAATCAAGCTTATTTATACAATGATAGAAACGTTATTGGAAGAGCCACAAAATAGCGTACTAAAAAGATCCGTCAACCAATGACAGTCAAGGATTTCGGAGTAGGAAATGTAAGCTGTAGATCAACTAAGCGTCTCTTGACGCGAAAAGATAAAATTCAAATTTTCAGAATAAAATTACAAAATCGGGAACTTTTCTAATTGAGTTCTGTGGATCTAACGTCTTCAATATTAACAAACCCATAATGGTTTATACCTGAAATCTCTATATATTTCAGCAACCATATAATGTGTAAACAACAGAGTTACCATCCAATGGTTCATCGTTTTGATTTCTATCAGTTTCCTGTACTGAGGGTTTATCATTTTTTTTTATCGCGTACCTACCAGAAGCGAACATACTTCATTAAAACCGACTTAATAATAAAATAATATCTGTAAGGTATTAACTAAACGTAAAGATGGGTCACAGATAAAGATTTACTTTTACTGAAGTACACTCACAAGGATATGAACTAATACAGAAATAGTTTGCCCTTGACCTGATGCATAAAATAAGTTTAAATCAGGTGACAATAAATTGTTAATGCTTTAGATTAAAACAATATCCATCGTCATGGTGTCGATTATAATTTTGAATAATCCAAAATATTTATTATAAATATTGTTTGAGATTTGAACTTTAATTGTTTTAGTATTATTCAAATTATCAAAGGTAAAATTATGAGTCCTCAACTGCTTATCTCAGTGAGATTATAATTTATGGGGGATCTTTGAATGAGGCTAAAGTGACGTTGAATGTGTCCACTTCATAACTAGGACCAAATAAGGGTTATAAACTAGTGTGTGAGGAATCAGAATTATGATTTACAGTTGATAGTTAGGATTAGGAATTAGATTTAGGGTTATCATCATGAACTGAAATCAGCTATAATACCAAGACTCTATTTAGTCAAATGGTTGATTGGATTTTACACCCAAATCCCAGACCTTTTATCTCATATCTAATTGTTTCATCCATAAAAACAATTGTCTTGCTCTTATCTCTTTTATTTCATTTTTGCAAGATCAACAATTAGAATGATGTTACTGATTGTAATTGTGAGGTTATGTGAATTGTTTCAAATTTAGCTGATTAATTAAGAACATTTACTAAACCGTTTGGTATAGTCTGGCTTGTATCTTCCCATTCAGGTTTAAGACTGCAATTGATCATTCTGTTATTGGCATATGTGCATACTGTGCGTATGCCTCGATATGCCTTCATTGCTTACAAAAACCTTGTGAATTAAGGCAACCCCATTGCACAAGCAAGTGACTATCAGGACTCAGCAGCTGAGTGGATAACGTGATGGTGTTTGAAGAAAAAGGTACTGCTGGGTTCGAGTCTCAGAGTGAACATCAACTCTGAGATGCAGGCACATCCAGCTGACGAGTCTCAAATAGGACGAAACGCGAGTCCTGGATTCCACTGCTAGCCACTATCCATCATTTACTAAACCATTTAATGAACGAGATGATTAGATCCGTGGCATTCAAATTTTACAATATTAAACAGTCACTGTATTCATTAAGCTACTCAAAAGGAATTTAGAAAACAAAAAAACACAGGAAATATACAGGAAATACTACTTTTTTAAATTTAAACTTGAAAACAAAAATGCATCTTTTAAAGAATTCATCAAGAGTTTACATATATCAATACAGACTAACCATCTATTCTATGTATGATAAAATGAATTAGACTTATTGTAATATGAAAGATACTTGTTAGTTTCAATGACTCTATTCGTTTGTTTTTTTCAATAATGACCAACTATGAAGTGTTATTACACCAAGACTAGTCATTCTAAAATATATCAGGTTTTGTTTAACTAACATTTTACAAAACTATTGAAATGCAACGAGATTACCTGGTACTACAATTTCTACGTTTATCCTAGTACCTTTGAATACAATAACAAAATGCTTTTTATAAAGAACTGTGGTTTTCTTGTCAAGTGATAATTCTTTTGTACATTATTTCATTCGTTATTTTGAATTAAAAGATACAATAACTTTCATTGTGTTTACGAATTTCTCTCCAACTTGATTTCTAATCGATTTATGACTACTAGAGTACAAATTGGACAGTTCGGTGAATGACTATTTAATATGGCAAATTCGACTATATCCAATTATTATAAGGATATACTCGTAATGTATGGCGAATATTTCTTACTTTTATTGTACAGTTAAATGTTTTATGTTATGTATTGTAATTAGTTATAATAATAAAGTGTAATTCCATTCTGTCTACTTCAAATTCAAATTCTTATTTATGTCTTATTGAAGTTTTAGCTCAGTTGGGATTAATAAAATTCATCATATTTCAATACTTTATAATGCTATGGGATTGAGAGTAAATTAAACATATGGAGTTTTAATGATGTCTTAAACATGACATCATAGTACATTTCGACAGTCTATTAACATAGAACTCTGCCTGGAGTCTCTCCGGGGGCTACTGCCGGTCCTAAGCCCGGAAAAGGAGGAGGGTTGGGCATGGGGGTAGCGAACTCATCCCGTCGAAAACTAACTAGCCAAAAAAACGCTAACCAGAAAAACTATTGAGCATAGAATTATAAGAGAACTATTAACATCTATCCACTAACCTATCATATATGATGGTTGTCTTATTAAGATTATTCTACATAAATATAATTGGCTATACTTTAACATATGAAAGTAATCAAGTATATAATCGAAAAATTACGTCAGTTTCGGCAAACAATATGATAAACGTGCACGAAAAGTTTGAAAGCAGTTGAAATAATCACTGAATAATGTATTTCTTAACTTGTTCTGCTAATCAATGAAACTAATCAATAGGAGCCTGGTTATCATAGTGATACAGTAGGTCAATTAGACGTTGACTAAATAATATGAATGTTCAAATGGCTAAAATTTGGTTTCCTTTCTTAAGGAGTGGGATACATATCGCTGATGAAAAAACGTGGCTTAAACTTCAGAAGGAAATATATGTGTGGTGTGAGTTACTTAAACCCACATAAGTAGTAATCAGACATAGAATGTATTTCAGTAGAAGATCGAGAAGGAAAGAATGGGATGAAAAGAATGGTATAAAAATGCAGGAACAATGAAATCTGAGACAATGGACTGATATTTGCTCTCTAATTTCGTGTCAAATACATTCGATTGCCCCACTCGTGTTCTTGTTCACTACATACGTATATTCGTTAGTGTACATTTTAGTTCTCTATTCACTCTGTCCTCCCACTCAGGTAATCATTCGAGCTAATGGACAGAAAACTGGTTTATCAGTATCACAGTTAGACAATGCCTAACACAAAACTTGATGTTTATCATTTAGATTCAAAGCCGAAATCTATTGCCAGATTTGATGACTAGCTATAAACATTCCATCTTTATCCGTAATGCACAACTACATTGTAGAGAATACTTTAATACATGAATATTGCCTAACCTAACGAATCATCTGTCATAACAGGTAGCTTATCCACAGAAACTCCTGACAATTTGTCAATCAATGAATCAAACAAAATGAATATATTTCATATTCATAATGAATAACTTACTAATCTTTCCATTTCATATCTTTGAATCCACGTCTCCAATTCAATTTGAAAACAATTAGGCTGTTGAGTACTTTCCTTATATAATACATCTAAAGAGAAGTCATCAATTACACATGGTAACTGTACTAAGTGTTCAATGAGATGTGAAATAACGTTTTCCAGTTTTTTTCTCATAACTTTCTCTTCACAGTTATTGTGATTTTATCCTTATTCTGTAGACTAAGATTTCTATTGGATTGTGTAAATATTGGCAAAATGTATGATAGTAATAAATTGATTATTTTCATTAAATGAATGACCAGTTTCATGCGATGACTTGTTGTTTGCCTTGATTGAGTTCCTATGATGTGTTTATCACGGTCTCTAGTTCAACGCATATTTGTGTTTCTTTGTTTCCAAGACAAATTGGTTGCCCCGGCAATGTAAATGTTACCTAAAATGACAAGATATTTCTAAGTATCATTTTAATTGATCAATAGTTTGTAAATAAACTCAACAGTAGTGCCAGTATAGTGAAAAAGAACACATGAGGGGAAAACTAAAATGGATTTGAATACAAATTTACAGAATGTTTTAGTAAAATCTGAGAACCATACAGTAAATACTTCATTTGCAAATTATCCATCAATCGTCTCATATTTCATTGTTTCTTCGTTTCTCTGTTGTCGTTCTCTTTGCCTTGATCTTCTTAATCTTCTGCCTCTAGATATTTCACTTTCTATTGATGATACATGCTACTTATCTCTGTCGACATCAGTAGTGCATCCCACAACAGGATTGTTATTTCTTCGTAAAAGAAACATGATACAAATTAGAAAATATTTTACTAAATGAACAATGTTCTACAGTTACTGTCCAAATATTCTTCTGTCAACTTTCAGATCAAATCCATTGATTCTTAGATTGTGTTTACACTGGAGCATATAAAATAAAATGGTAACTATTGACCGATATGATTCAATATTCCTGTACATTTTATTTGATATAAACTGGTTGAAAGCAATTAACAAGAAACCTTAGATCTTGATTTTCTTATTATTATTATTTGTTGGGGACGTTAGATCCCCAGAACTCATTTGGGAAAGGACCTAATTTTGTAATTTTATTTAGAAAATTAGAATTTCATTGTTTTCGCGCCATAAGCGCTCTTGTCGCCTTCGTGACGTATTTCCCACTGGGAAATATCTTAAATGCTATTGGTCCGTTGCTTCTTTTAGTATGCTATTTGGTAAGTCTCTCCAAGGACGGTTTTGTACTCTATATATACGTTTTAAATTGCGTTTGTTGTTATCACTCGTTTCTGGCTGTTTGCAGAATATACTTCTCCGTTCTAAGCTTGGAATTCTTCCTCTAGGACGCATCAAATAGCTAGCTTACTGGTCTTTGGTCACTGAGTCTTTGTTCTCGTTCGTAGATTAAGTGAACTCGTGATAGCTTCAACCCTAGCATTATTAATGGGTTTATTCAATATTATAGTTTTGGTATAAATAGAATTGTCAACATTTCTTCATCATAACTACAATATTGAAAGAACTAATACTCCGTATAGTCATTAGTTGGATGCATATCATTCACTGTCACAATGAATGACCATTTGAGTAAAAGGTACCATTGAATAATGCATATTTTTGTTTTAGTACAAAATTCTTGTTGTCAATGAAATTCAATTGTAATTCAATATGATGAAGCTTAACGATGATCAAAAGGAAAATTTGATCACTTCTTTTAACTGGATGATATTTTACCCCTATGAAAGACAGATGATATACTTGAAAGAATTTAAGACATTCTAACCCCCTAATAATCTTACTTGAGTTAAAAGAAGCTCCATAATTGTAATCAGTTGATTAGATAATCTTATACAAACATCTAAAGGATATTTATCCAAAATGATTGTTAAATTATGATCTAATTGATTTAATTGTTCATTTATAAGATGATAATATTTAAATTGATCTGTTTTTTATGTATGAATTCATTGATCATTTTAGTTTTATTAATCCAATGATCTAATTTATTTATATATATAGTGAATGTATCCATATGATTGTTCATTTGAGTATTACTTGTATCCATGGTAACATTTTTACAGAATGGTTTAAACATATTCATTAATTGTTGTAAATCTTCATTATCCGCTGTTGTTGAATAGATTATTGTATTCTTTCTAGTTGCCTTAGCAATTAATCTTTCAATATTATCGTCTTCTAAGGATGGTGAGGATGATGATGATGATGATGATGAAAGGGATTGTTTGATTGATGATGTTTGGTATAATTGAAAATGTGTTAAATTCATTAAATTTGTAATCATATGTTTGAATTGTTTATTAGAATAATACCATCCATTTATTGATTTTTGTAAAATATCATATCCAATAAAATTTCTATCGGTTAAATAGATGTGTAATTTTCGAATGACACTCATAACTGGATCATGATCTATTTCTCTGAAAAGAAGAAAAAACAAACAAACATGAAACGATCAATATTAGTGTATAAATGATTATGAACCATCATCATATTTAAAAAAAATCAGGTTACATAATGTTTAAATCCTGATGAGAATTATGCATGGTAACTGGTTAATACTATCCACGTTTAAATGTGTTTTACAAGTGATTATTTCAAATCGAATTTTTATAACCATTATCTATTCATATTGAAGGTTATATTGCCATATGATTAAAATATTTCAATCTTGAAAACTATAACTAGGTATAATTTTATTAATTAATGATAAAAAGGTATTAGGGATTAATATCAGAAGGGGTTTTGTCGATATTATAATAGTTTAATAGTTGAGTTCATGGGTCAATTCGACCTAGACCACCATGGAAAACCTGGACACACTGAACGGCCGTTTCGTCCTATTGTGGAACTACTCAGCAGTTCACATCCACGATCCCGCCTCCCGCGAGATTCGAACCCAGGACGTATCAGTCTCGCACACAAGCGCTTATCCATTAGACCACTGAGACAACATCCATCAGTGTTAATGTATTAGGGATTCACAAACTTATTCATGAACATTATTAAACAAGGAATAAAATACTGATAATCATTACTGAAATAAAGAATATTGGGAAAGAAATACTCAAATTGAAAGAGAAACTGGTAACTTTTATTATCATCAATAATCATGTAGACACTGGATTAAGTTTTTTTCCAATTATGTATAATTATTTTTTAATTATCCCGCTAAAAATAAATTCCCAACTGAATCACCGGATGTATAAAAGAGGATAATAATAGGAAACATTGAAAACTGTTCATTTGTCAACTGTTTCACATATGTATAATACCATAACTTTGTAATATATGATCTCAATAGTGAACACATTCTACATGAGAACTGTTATATTTTAGTGGCCCGTGGCTCTGACTTCAAGATCGTACGAATGATTGTCATCGCCTATTCTCGTATATAATCGTCGACATAAATCGCGTTAGTCAATAACGGAATTAAATAAGTCGAATAACGTGGATTGATTTGTGAATACATATATTTTGTAAATGAAGCGAATGAAACAGAGCAAAGCAAAGACGACACGCAGGGAAGATGGCTGGGAAGCCAACTCCATCTTTGTCAAGCGTTACTCAATACTTATAGTCAGACAAAATAAAGCTACAGACATGTGATTAATGGGATAAGAAGGGTACACACATATACGCTCATATAAAAAGTCAAGACTGATAAGCGAATAATTGACAAGGTCAAAATATGACTCAAGTAGAATGAATAGAATGGGATGTCCGAAAGCTAGAATAAGGTAAATGGGCTTAACATAGTAACTGACACTACAATATCTTGACGAGAATTATTAATGGTTACACCTGAGTACTATTTATGAACCAATACGATAGATTTATTCTTTTATTGTATAATTGCTATGTTATTAAACTATTCATATTCTTCTTCCTCTTATTACAAGCTTTATTTCGACCTATAGATTATTATTATTAGACGATTTACCGTTCTTAAATTATACCCAGTATATTAATACTACCTCCCACGTTCACAGCCACAGCCAGGCTTGATCTTGTATAAATGTGTATCTTATATTTTATGATGTGATGTGGTCTGTTTTGTTTGTATATAAACCCAGTATGTTTGAAATGCATGATTCATTCTGCGAAGACTGACATTGGTGTTGTGGTCTTTAACAAGCAGGACTATGCAGAAAGAAGGACCGATAAAGACTCTATACTTCCTGTACGGGTTTATGAGTCATTGATCCGGTCGATAAGTCACTTTTCTCTAATTCACGATATCATTGCATTCTGTATATTGATAAGGCACAAACTCACAAGAAGTAACATATAAAATGTCAAATGTATCACAACTTTTTAATCTCTGGTCACATTTCACTTTGAAAATTCTACTTTCTATTGGATTCACTGATTAACAACTACATTTTTATCTTTACGGCATTAATACCTTTTACACTGAGTATTTCAAATAAAATTAAACTGTACCTCATATCGGCTTAATACATGAGCAGATCATTATTATGTGCTGTTAAAGTGTCGAAGACTAAGATCGAGTTCTGTCTTCTTCAAATTGAGTTATTCTGGGAATTCTTAATTCACAAATGAAATTCGATCATTTTAGACAATCAGACTTATTCCAATTCATTTAACTTCATTATGAAATTTGTAACAGTTAAATATTAAGAAGACTTCAGAAACATTGTGGAATTTATTTTATTCTCTGAATATATATGGAGGCATTGATTTGTAGTGTGGTGTCGAGTCGCGGTTGACTATGATCACCACTACAGGAAGACTACATGTCAGTTAACCGATAAGATCCCCCGTAAGCCAAATATCAGAAGGCAGTAGTCGAGATGTATTCTTTGGTGATCCCGTGGTGTCGAAGGAATACCGAGATCGTGCCAAAGGAGTACAAGTGTGGTTACTCAGCGTAACCGAATTTGCGCAAGGTCACAATCAAAGGAAGGTAGAATATCTTTAGTACAGTACAATTGGTTATAATAATAATTGCTTCCTTTAAACCAATTGCGTTCTCTTGATAAAAGTAGGTCACTACAGATTTATTAACTTAAATACTTCAACTGTTATTTAATGAAATATTTTATCATACTCTTAATCAAGAGGTAAGTGTTATGAACGGGGAATTAAGAAGCCCAGACAATTACGAAAGCTATTTTCTTGGGACGTTATTGCATTTCATTCAAACCCTGTAAAACACTTATATTTATTTTTGTCCCCATCTTATTCTACATAACACGAGTTTTCATTCTATGTATCATTCACTAGCATACCCTTTTTTGTTCCGAAAATATTGTAATTTAAACATAATATTTTGCACTGTATTTTCTACCCTAATTCCCTGTTTCGGGCATAACTGTATTTTTCCAAATTATTGTACGTCGTGGTCAAGATATTCACTTATTTATTCATGTACATTTTTGTACTAATCCGAATTCAGAGAATCCAGAGTTCAGTGTTCCAACTGTCTTGTCTTCTTTCACTTGCGTGCTTGCCAACCAATCAGGATTTAGAATAGTTCTCTCTACCCCATCTCGAACTCACGCGTATTAGACTCAAGGTTAAGCCACTCAGCCTAACGCGTCAAGGTCATAGTTTAGTCTAGACAGATCAAGGTGAAGTCATAACAAGTATCACGGGGTAAAAGCGATTCAAGGTCATAACAGTAAGCAACAAACTATTTTCAAAAGGGAATTTGTGGATATGATGGTAATTTTAATAGTTGAGATCATGATTCAACTGATGCTAGACCACTATGGAAAGCCTAGAAGCACTGGACAGCCGTTTCGTCCAACTGTAGGACTCCTCAGCAGTGCCCATCCACGATCTCACCTCGTGAGATTCTGACTCAGGACATATCAGTCTCACGTGTGAGCACTTAATCATTAGACCATTGAGTCGGCTGGCATCCAACGCTGTTAATTTCTAACTTCAACTAATCCACGAAATTGAGCGACACGTCCACCATTGTCATCAGTGAACTCCACTGGTCACTACCTCTCACTAGAACTCCAGGAAATACCTCTTGAAGACCGTCAAAAACACATTATTTGAATATATGATTTACTAAATAACTTTCAAACTAAAAACACCTCTTTACATAACTTACGTAACTTTAGAGGTTAGTATCCCAGTTTGTTGATCAATATTCACATCATCTATGATAGCACATTTCTTCTCGACTTTTTCTATTTTATCTGTAAACTGTATTGAATATTAAAATTCTCAAATGAATTCAACTGAAAATTTACTCTGAAAAAAAACATCTTATGGTTATTCATTGTGGAATGACTTTACCTGGGCAATCCGTTAAAACTAGGAAGCATTAAACAACTGTCTTCTAACATAATAAAGTGAAGCATTGAACTAGTTGTTTGATTAATGAAGTGACAGATGTTATTTTGCCAAAGAAAAACAAATAAGCATTTCGTTGTGTTTCTGAGTTATGTTGTCAGTTGGTTGCCTATATGATTTAATTATTATTTATGTTTTCAGTAAGAAACAATATCAATATGAAAGTGAGAATCTTCAATACGAACGTCAAGGCAGTTCTACTGTACGGATCTGAAACTTGAAGAACTACGACAACCATCATCAAGAAGGTACAGTTATTTATAAATAGTTGTCTATGCAAGATACTCAACATCCATTGGCCGGATACCATCAGCAACAGCCTTCTGTGGGAAAGAACAAACCAGGACATACATTACACAAATCATCAAACGGCATCACGAGGCAAGCCCTAACTCGGAATCCCTGAGGGGAAGTGGAAAAGAGGAAGGCCAAAGAACACATTACGTCGGTAAGTAGAATCAGATATGAAAAGGATAAATAACAACTGGAAGGAGCTGGAAAGGATTGCTCAGGACAGAGTTGGATGAAGAGTGATGGTGAGCGGTCTATACACCTTAAACGAGGGGTAACAGGCGGTATAAGTAAGAAAAACTTAACACTAAGTTGTAAATATTTCATCATGCGATGTGATGAGTTATCAGGATTCAATTCATGAAAAAGTTTAAAAAAACTGTGAGCGAAATTAAAGAAATCTTCAACAAAACTATTGATTCGCATTTGAGAAATACTGTCAGTTACTAATCTCATTAAACTAGGCATCTTTTTAAATGTCCTTACATTGAATAGTTTAAATGGGATGAGGAACTTTAAACGAAATACTAAACACATTTTAATACAGTTAAGTTCTATGATTTCAATGGTATAATTGTGACATATTCATTTCCATTCTGAATAACACCAAACTCGTATGTAAGGGAGAAAATTGCTCTACCATATGTGGAAATCATCTCAGAAATCACCACAAAGATTACAAAACCTTTTTCATATCAATATGCTTCACAAACCACCACAATCACATTATTCCATTTTATACAAACCGTAAGACATAACAGTGAAAGGATACAATACAATCTCAACTACAAATAAGACTGAACCAACCTAGAGAAACAGTTAAGTGAACAAAGTAGACGCCCCATTCGCTTACGCACATACGAGCGAAAACGATGAGTAAAAAGTGACGATATTTTATCATTGACCAACCATGGAGATGAATAGAACTGTGAAAACTTTAAAATTTTCAATCGAGAGTATCCTTAAAATGATGGAGAACTTCTAGTAGCGTGATATAAAAGTTAGTCGTCAGTTTAGAACTGACGTCAATTCGCTACATGGTCGGGATGATGCAAAACACGAGAATGCAATCACAAAGAAAGTCATTTGAATGACATCATTTAGTGCTTGTACAATAACTGAACAGTTCGTTTTAATCATGAAGTAGGCTAGGATGGTGACGCCCAGAATGACAATAAAAGCTCTTCCATTAAACTATTTAGCTTCGAAAACTTAACAACATCAAACTCATTCAGTTGAACTACACATCTTTATCATCATATAAAACAGATGATTGAAATTCCTACCATTTATAATAACTTACCTTGACATTTTGTTTAGTATTCTTAATAGATTTAACGGTTTTTCGTTGTTGTTGTTGTTGTTGAATCTGTTTACTGATAAATTTCACACAAATATGATTATAATTTCGTGTTATTTGACATGTTAGAAACATGGCTAAATCTCCAATACATTCAATATCTAAAATAGACTAGAATTGAATGTAATTCATATTGTATCATACATTGAAATGTATTCTACAATCTAATTGTCTTTGTGGATGATTCATTGTATATAACCATTCTTGTCCAATAATAAAATGTTTAAATTGTGGTTTCTCATTATCTAAATGACAAATGGAATCAGACCAAAATAGTAAATTATCAAAATCATTTTTGCATAATTTATGTCTTAATATTCTTTCAATTGCACAACCATTTTTATACATTGTATCACTAGAATAGGATAATTATGAACAGATATAGGTTTGTATGTAAATGAATCAGTAATGAAATACGTATCTAAGTAGATGGATGTACTTTAAAGTAAATCTACACATATATTTAACCAATTAAAGTATATTAGATACAATGGTCAACATATCAGATGATTGAACGAATATTATTTCTAATTATCCTATTGGTTATTTTCAATTCCATATGTCTCAATAGAAATTCTTCAATTGAATTTAATAATCAAATAATGATCTAGTTTTTTTTAATCTACTGGCTCCACGATTTCAATCCATCTCTTGGTCACAAGTCTATTGTTTAAGTCTGCTAATCACTTATAACCATGTATTAAATGACAATAATTAATTGGCTCCCATATTTTCATACCATTACCCTCATTGATATATTTGAATGAAACAGGAATGAAAAGTATAAAAGAATAATTTGAATGTATTTGTTTCATGGTTCCATTTCACTTTATTACAACCTAGAAACAATGGTAATAATTATTTACAACCAAAGTATGTATTTCATATCCTATTAATGGAGATTAATAGGATGAAGGCATTAAATATGGAGGGATTCGAAAATGTTAGAATGAATAAACGCTTATATGCTACCAAATTTGAAAATTCTAGGGAAGAAATCTTAAAGCATATATAGATGCACGTTTCTTGAAAACGGTAATGTAATAACAGCTATGGATTCGAATGCAAGAACCGTCCTTTCTTTCCTTCCAATGTAAGTTATTTGGGATGTAAATGTACACTGATAATTACAATCGTTGATAAAACGAGGGGAACATCTGCCCACAGACATCTTCGAACTATGATTAATAGTTCTTCAATATTCTCCTCTGAACATAGTTTCAGTGCACAATTAAATTGCTTTAACCAAATGTTTTTTGTATCTTATTGAACAGAAGTTATTAACTTATTGTACCCAGAAAAAAACAACTTTATACTAATAAATTACTCTTAGTTATGACATTTGATAATTAGTAGAATAAGGAGATCAAAAGTGGGATAATAGAGTGCCTATGGTGAAATTATAATGAGGGACCAAAGAAAAAAGCATAACCGTAGCTGCTACCTTGATGCAGTGGTCAGGCTTGCCTATCGTGATGACCCAACCGAGCTATATTGGCTGGAGCATATGTTTCTGTAGGTTCTACCATGCCAGGCAGGTCGATTGGAGAACGGTAAGACTAAAAGCAGCAACTCAAGGTCTGAGGGCGAAGTCGTACTGCTGACTGTAGAGGGCTCTATGGAGAACAGAGCTAACACGTCAAAAACCTCCCACAAAAAGGCCGTGCGCAACCGGCCTCAAGCAGTTGTCCCTTGGGCTCTGCGGTCACGCTCCCAAGTCTTTAAGACCAACACTAATCCAATTTCATTTTCAGGTTCCTCAGGAAATACCCTTCCATGGTGTGGGCAGCCAGGAAGTGAAACCAGCCCTCATACCCGTAACAGCACACGAAACCAAGTTGGTCACATTCAAATCCCTACTTCACCTCTTAATACCACTCTTATCTCCCCGACTAACCCTTCTCACGACTTTTTTTACCTCGCACCGCTAAGGTAAACGATTCAAGTACGCGGAACGTTATTCCTGGTCTCCTGAAAACAAAGAACCAACTCGATTCACACGTTGTGTATCTGGAAGCCCAGATGCTGTTTCACGTGGACTGGCCGGCGTAGGTATAGCATTGAGTCCTGGGGCAGAAGATGAGTTTTACGGAAAGCTTTCCGACCATCTCCGAAAAGCTAGGCGCTCTGAAGTAGTAATAGTGGTTGGTGACTTTAATGCTCAAGTAGGTAAACTAAGGGAAAGGGAAAGACACCTAGGTGGATCTTATGTTGTCGTGGCTCAAAGGACAGATAATGGCGACCGTCTGTTGCAGCAATGCTCAGATAACCGCCCGTTCCTTGCAAATACTAACTTTAAGCATAAGGAAAAACATCTTTTAACATGGCGACCCCCTCATTCGTCCCAACGTTGGACCCAAATAGATCACATCGCTATCAGCCACCGATGGAGGGGCTCGATAGAAGGCTGTCGCTCATTCTGGAGCACATGCCTAGATTCAGATCATGCTCTAGTGCGAGCGCGCATTTGCCTGCGTCTTACTGGACGTAGGAAAGACGCTGCAAGGAAACCTGTTAGGGTCCTGTTTAATAATAGTCAAGCTAAGAGTATATTTCAGGAATAACTAGGAAAACAGTTAGGCAGCCATGTAGGTGATGTCCACCCTGAGGCAGGATGGAATGATATCCGAAAAGCTGTGGAAACAGCAGTGATATCTACTAGTACGGTAAACCGTAAGGTTAGGGAGCAACACTGGATCTCAGCAGCACCTACCGCACTGATAGATGCTCGAAAACTCATTCCATCTGGCTCTGAACATAACGAAGAGCAGAGTCAGCTTAAGCGCAAGCTGACAGGAAGCCTACGCAATGATTGTGAACAGTGGTGGGTAGCGAAAGCAAGAGAGATGGAAAAGGCAGCGGCAATAGGTAATAGCAGACAATTATTCAGACTTGTTAAGGAGACCGGTATTAGGTATTAGGAGAGCAGTAGGCCCTGACAGGTTTACTCCTGAGATTTTTAAGGATGGTGGTCCAGTATTAGCAGTGAGACTAACTGAGGTCTTAGGTAGAATTTGGGAACTGGACGTAATCCCATCTGACTGGTCTCAATCACTGATTGTGCCAGTCTATAAGAAAGGACAAAAGTCCTCTTGTGACAATCACAGAGAAATCAGTTTGACTAATATAGTGTCTAAAATATTAGCTTCAATAATACTTCGACGCCTAACTAAAGCTCGTGAAGAGCAGACTAGAGAAAACCAGGCTGGTTTTCGACCTGGACGTGGTTGTATAGACCAGATATTCACACTACGTCAGGTCCTAGGACATAGACACACATTCAGACGCCCCAAAATAGTAGTATTTCTTGACCTTAAAGCAGCATTCGACTCTGTTGATCGTGAGGTTCTATGGCAGTGTTTGTCATTGAAAGGAGTACCAAAGAAGTACATTAACTTTGTAAAGGCTCTCTACTCGGACACAACTGGTCGAGTGAGAGCTTATGGCGAACTGTCATCAGAATTGATTATCTCAAGTGATGTTCGTCAGGGCTGTCCACTCTCTCCATTCTTGTTCAACTTTGTCATTGACGTACCTTTAGAGATGACACTCTCCTCATCTAAATTTCCATGGGTTGAACTTCTACCAGGAGGTTCACTTGTTGACTTAGAATATGCAGATGACATAGTTCTGTTTGGTGAAGGCGCTGACAAAATGAAGAGTCTTCTGACCACTCTAAGCAACAATGCAAGCATGTTCAGGATGCGATACTCTCCCTCGAAATGTAAAATGTTGCTTCAGGATTGGGTTGTATCGACACCCGAAATAATGATAGGGAGTGAAGTAGTTGAGCGTGTCGACCCCTTCACTTATCTTGGAAGTCTCATCAGCCCTTGTGGTCTGGTGTGTGACGAAATCTCAGCAAAGATACAGAAGGCTCGACTAGCTTTTGCCAACTTGCGTCATTTATGGCGTAGGCGAGATATCCGTCTATCAACCAAAGGACGGGTTTACTGTGCAGCAGTTCGTTCTGTACTACTTTATGGCAGTGAAACGTGGCCGGTAAGAGTAGAGGATATCCGTAGGTCACTAGTATTTGATCAGAGGTGTTTTCGAAGCATTGCTCGTATATCGTGGGACCATCGAGTAAGTAATGCAGTTGTTAGGAAACGGGTACTAGGTAAGGATGACAAATCAATTGATGAAGTAGTGAAACTTCAACAGTTGAGATGACTGGGACACGTGTTACGTATGCCCAACCACCGGCTGCCCCGACGAGCGATGTTTTGTGGTGTAGTAGTAGGTTGGAAGAAAGCTGGGGGTAGTCAGAACAAAACATGGCACAAATCCATGAAGTGACTGACAAGTAGATTGTGTCATGTTGGTAGGTGTAGATTACCTGACTGAGGACCGCCATATGATGGCAACCGATAGTTAGAGACCCTGAATGACATTGCTCAAAATCGTTCGTAATTGCGCAGGTGCATCCACTCTTTACGTCCTGTCAAATTCTAATCTCCCGAATACTCCTTGTCTCTTTTTTTACTTTACGAAATTTGCTTCACTGAATTGTACTTCTTGAATAACAGCTTCAAACACCAATGTTTCCGATTACTGATTATACTCTTACAACCTCTACCACCACGGGATTTGAATGGACAATGTGGTATGGCAACTCGGACTGATGTACGTACGTACGAACTTCTACGTTGTTACTAACTGACTGATCTAGCTTCAGTTATTGAGATTACTCATACTTACTTACTTACGCCTATTACTCCTAATGGGTCTTAGAGCACCAACCAGCATTCTCCAATCCACTCTCTCCTAAGCCTTCCTTTCTAGTTCTATTCAGTTATTGTTCATTCTTGTCATGTCTGTCTGTCTTTATTTCGCGGAGTAATATGTTTTTTGGTTGTGCTCCTTTCTTTTGACCTTGAGAATTCCAAGTGAGGGGTTGCCTCGGTAACCAGGGCAAATAACTGAACCTACTATAATGTTCAATAAAACGCCTTCTGGTACTTATCAATATATGCTCACTAATGACTGGTTTCAAGGAGTATTTTCAGGAGTTCTAGTTAGAAGTACTGATCAGTGGATTTCAGACGGGTCTGTTATGAGATACTAAGTCCCTGAAGACAATGGTGTATGTCTCGCTCAATTCAGTGGATTAGTTGAAGTTAGAAATTAACACTGCTGGATGCCGGCCGGCTTATCGGTCTAATGGTTAAGCGCTCGCACGCGAAACTGATAGGTCCCGGGTTCAAATCTTTCTAGACGGGATCGTGGATGTGCATTAGTGAAGCTTCCCACAGTCAGGCGAAACGGCCTTCCAGTGCTTCCAAGTTTTTTATAGTGGTCCAGCTTCAATTAAATCATGATCTCAACTAATAAAATAAAATGAGACTGCAATCCCAAAGTTATAGAAGAGATCAAAATCATAGATTTACAAGTAAGTAATGTAAAATCAAGTCATGTTATGGACTGTGTTAATTCAACAAAATTATGGTATGCAGGTTGACAATTCAATAAAACGAGTTCATGTCAGTCTTAACTAATGTAGACATGAAACAGTCACAGTAACTTTCTAATGTGACCAAATTACATCATACTAGTGATCTATCACATGATAAAAAAACGTATAACGGTAGTGGTTTTACTAAAAAAATAGAAGGAAAATTGTATTTTGTTGCTTAAGAATATGATAATACCTGACTACAGGAGTTAATCTTGAGTCTCAGAGGCAGTTTATTTTGTATTATTCATAATGCGAGAATAAAATGATCAATGGACCGAATTTCTGGAGGAATTATTCTTCACTAGAAGGTGTTGACGAATAAATAGCCACATTCTGGTGTTCTTATTCTGTTCCTCTATCATAAGTTTCAGACCATTCTTATTGTCAACATGAATCACTGTGAAAAACAACTGGAAGGAGAATAAATAAGTAATGATTTCAGCATACCAGATGTTGGGCAGCAATAAGCATCAACATAAAGAGTGGAGTTTTTTTGATACATTGGTATGGTATTTGTACGAACTAATAAAAGCCTTGTACTTGATTGCTCGCTGAATACGCATTACAAAAATAATACGTTCATTTGTGCTCATATAGTTCTACCTGCCTCAAACAGCAACATTTCGGAAATTCCTAGTTATCAAACTGAAACGAATACTTCTAATCATCATAATTAGGTAGGAAGTGCAGTAGATTATCTTCGAGATAATTCCTAAGATCCAGTAGACGCTCAACTTTGAGATCAACATGCTGGATTGCGTAAGGACCGATCGCGCACAGACCGAATTGCGACACCACAGATCATCGTTGAACAATCAATCGGAAGGAACTCGTCACTATACATAGAGTTCCTGGACTGTAAGAAAACGTTTGACGTTGTGGCTAGGAAAACCTTGTGTTACCTTCATCGACAATATGGTTTGCCTAAGAAAATCGTCAACATCATACGGAATTCATACAACGGACTACGATACAAAGTCGTGCAAGGAGAACAGCGGACCGACGTATTCCAAGTTAGGACCGTAGTCAGACAAGGATGCCTATATTCAACCCTTCTCTTTCTTCTGGTGGTCGACTGGATTATGAGACGTCAACATCTGTGATGAAGCACGAAATACAGTGGACAGTTGAATGCAACTTGACCTAGCCCTTATATTTCATGCAGAGCAATTATTGCAGGTGAAGAAAGCCTGTGCAGCAATAAACCACAACAAACACAACGGAATAGACACATAATATACCAGTTGTTCGTTTAAGATTTGAAGTAACTAAAGCCACCATTCGAACTGGATCCCGTCACTATCACAGTTTTGCACCCAAAATGCATATCCACGAGTAGCTTCCACTTTTACTGGAATCGACTCTTTTATTGTGGTAGGACAATTACCATTGAAGTGAGAAGTACGTCTGACACGGGAAACTCCACGAAATCAACGAGTATCACTTTGATGGAGTTCCTCTAGAGCCAAAACCTTGAAGGAAAAAAAATAAATTTCCGGAATTCGTATGACACAAATGTGTCTATTCAATGAAAATGAATAAAGTGATTCGATCGGATGTGTGTTTAAATGACACTATGTTGTTTTATATCCGATGTGCCAAATATATCATGGGTTTTGATATAACAGGTCACACAAAACCGTCCTAATCTTTTGTAAATGTTCATGACTATGTGTCTTCAACACTCATAGTAATTTATTCCACATGCATCCAGGCTACACAATATTTAAGCTACTATTTATCATAATTTGCTTGATGGTGATCTTGCAGTCAGAGGCAATATGAACCCTCAGAGTTTTTTTTTATTTTGGGAGGTCCAAAATCCATGACCCTTGAGTTACTGCGAAAAATGATGAAATGTTTGTCGTTGAACAGAGAGTAATCTAAACAGCAGTAGGTAGTCGAGCTTCTTTTCAATTTGTATACGGATAATAAACTTCAATCTGGAGTAAAGTCGTACGAAGTTTAATTTTTGGTAGACAAAGTGTGCTATATTGACTGATGAACTACATATGTGTTCTTCACAATATTCAGCTATTGTCCCACATTAGTGGACATAATCTGAGAGGTGCTCTAGCGAAATCGCGTTCAGTTAAATAAAAGTTTCTGTATGAGGTAAGTTTGATGAAATTTTTGAATTCTCAGACTCACGGTGACAACATTACGTTATCGCATGGTCCTAGTGAATTCAGTTATACTAATTCCCAATAGTCCATTACTTGTTTGACAATGTATTTTAGTCATCGAACCTGCCAACAACCTCCCAATATGAATATTGAGCTGTGTTTTGTACAAACCGAATTCTGATATTTTACGCACATAGTTTCCTTTATAAGCACGAACAAAGATTCTAGTAGAATTGCGGGAATTCTCCTGAAATGCCTGGTATATTACTAGTCAGTTTGGAGTCTCTCTGGAGATGAAGATCGTCGAAGTCATCATACTGTAGTGCTTGAAAGAACTTGTTTAAAAATATCCTGCAATAGGTTGAAGAACTAAACAATTCAGAGAAGCTACAGCTCCAGCCCGTCTACAAAATAATCCGACTAGACAAGACATATAAGTGATTGTTAGAATGCGGTGAAGACCGATACTAAATAAATTTCAAGACGTTTTTACGAAAATGAATTACTAAAATAATTTGTTTGACACAGAAGTAGAAAGTCCCATGAATTTAGAAGAAATTTGTTTTAATTCGCTACACTTGTTGAGGTACATATTAGGATAGAAACACCGAGTGTGGGTAGTTGAACGTATATCAACATGACAACAATCGAGTATGGTGGGGGGCCATCACTTGAGCAACGTCGGGCGTTTGCAAATTTGGAAAGTGGTGGACATGTGCCTGGGTAAATTATTTTTATCAACCATATTGGACTTACATTTTATTATAACAAGACTTTATTGAAAAATTGTTGAATATTAGTTAGAATAGTATAGTATATCAATAGTTATCATTTTGCGCATTGTCTTAAATAAACACTTTTGAATAAAAATGTAAATTCTTGTGTTGGCCAAAAGTATGTATCGGATAGGGAATCTTATGTAGCCATTTTAATTAACTACACAACTAACTAAAGTACTTTTTATCCTTGTATGCACAAGGTATTTCCCAAGTGTAAATGGAATAGAGACTAACGAGTTTGGTCTTCATGGAGAGTGTAATTTAGTTTGGGATAGCGTTTTTGGTATTTTAAAATAACAGAATCATGTCTTTATGAGTTTAGTTTTTAGTAGCTTGATGCTCTAACTTCAGTTTGATTTTACTGGATTCACTTTAGGGATAATATGATGAAGTGGTTCTTATACGGGAATGGGTTTTGGATTCCTGTGTTTCATACACTCGTTCCCTCAGACAAACAATAAGAGAAATGAAGCTGAGAGTCAGACCTAGGGAGGCAAACATACTACATCGTTATAATACTTATGAAAAACGTTAGTATAACTCAAAATGAACAATTGGTAGTATGGCAAAGAGGCAGAGACTGTGTAGAACAAGGAGTGACAGGCAAACCCACACAAGGCTCATAAGTGTGGAAATAAAAATTCGAAAAAGAAGACATCTATATAACCTGAGGTACACAAGTTCATATAAAAAGAGCAGAGCTAATACGAAAGTGAAAATAATTCAATGTTACATGCTATCTGAGGCACTAAGGTTCGTTCCAAAGCTGTTGTGAACCATGTAAATGTCAGTTAGTACTACAAACTACAATTTCAATCGCTTGGACCGTGCTTTACTAGACGGATGAAGTTAGCCTAAACCTAGATCAAAGGAATACTAAACCCAGTGCATGTTAAACTGGTTGTCAAACTAGTAGTGCCATATTTTAGTTGAGAAGAAATATGTGTGGATTTTTAGGGTAAGGGATTCGTCAAACTAAGTTGTTCGATGGGTGTTCAGGATACAACTTGTTGGTTTTCATAGCTCTAATCGCTGGACTTATGGATTTAAACGCAACCGCCATCTGTTAATCTACAATGTGCACTATGCCTCGTGTACACGCTTGTTATCTGCCCGTGTGATCTTTTTTAACCTAATAAACTTGTGTCTTCGGGCAAATATTCTATTTTATAGACTTTAGTGTCATGTTTTTATTCAGAATTCAAGAAGCATAGATAAAATATATTATTGGCTTGGTACAAATGAAGTTGGAATCACGTTAATTCCTCCAATTTTTTTACACTTTACCTAGTTTTCTATATTTATTTATGTATATTCATACATCTGATACGAAAATACAACGGAATAGTGGCCAGTGCTATAAATTCATTTAAAAAAGTTGGCAGTTTTTATTTAAAGCCACAACAATGTTTTTAAATATATCTGAGGATCGTTTCCTGGTAGTTTCAAGCTTGTTGTGTTTCAATCTAGTTCTTTAATCAGCTGAGTTCTGGAGAAAAAGTCTTGCGCTTAAATGTTAAACACATCTTCCGGTTTACTTCTCTGAAAATTGACCTCAACAGCATTTTTTACAAGTTATTTCTAGATTTTCTTCCATTTCCTGATATATATATATATACTTAGTTCACAACTATAATTAGGATCACTTAGAATTGTTTTTTTGTGTTAGTCGTTCTGTTGTATGGCGAATAATTAATGGAATTCCGGATGAATAACCATTCACTATGACCTTATCATTGCTGTTAACCTCTGTTCTTTTCGTCAAAATCCGTGAAATCCTGAAGTATTCGTTAGATAGCCATAAGAAATGAATTTATCTTCGTTGTAGCCGGAAATTGACCACTATTTATTGGATAGTGTGAAGTAAGCATTATAGAAAGCAATGAAATAGAGTTACAATATTCGGTAATAAAGTAATGATGTATTTGTTGGAAAATCATTTATTTACTTGTTTTAAAGAATTATCATTCACAAATTCTTAAAAAGTCAAAAATTCCAATTTCTACTCACTATGACATAAATATATCATTATTTTATTGTTTTGTGTTCAATGCTTAGCTTACTTGAAAATATCAAGTCAAACCTTGATATATATTAATATATCTTTAAACTTATTAACAGTTCAACGATCATTTTATTCATTTGATGTAATCATTTTGTTTATGTTTCGTGATATTCGAATGTCTTTAAAGCTAATTATGTCCAATATAAAATAACATTCGAAGTGCTTATAAGAAAATATGTAAAATATATGAAATGGTTAACTTATAGGTTCTTCTATAATGCCGCTGGTAAGAATGAGTTTATAAAGTATGTGATGGTATCGTTTGACATCAGAGGAAACTTGTTGTAATGAAATAGGTAAATAATAATAGTGTTGTGTAAGTGTAAAGTTTTAAACATGATAAACAAGAGATTTTCTAATTATGGGAGTGTATCATTTTTAATATTCATGCCATGTTGTCTATCTCTTTTTACTTCAACAACTTAAACATTTGATGTTGAGTCATATAAAGTGATTGTATGAGAAGAATAAAAGTGTTCATAGTGGATCGTAAAGTTACTATGAATTTGATAACTTCAGTATGAAATCTGCAGAAAGCCGTAAAATCTTATCATGACAATTCCATGCAAATAAAGGTTTCTTATGTGTACTCGATGAATTGGTTTATATGAATGCTGTTAGTGCATTCATGTAAGTAAATCATTCAAAGTCTATAGACATTTTGACTTTGATTAATAAACTTATGTTTGAATCATACAAGCAAGTTTGATAATTTGATTCGGTATTTTGCTATATATCAAATATTCTAGATCATTCTAAGTGATAAGACAAAATCTTATCTTAATTTTACTTTTAGATACATGGGATTTTGTCCACAATTTAAGTATAGATATGGTCATACTTTTGGAAAAGAAACATCAGACATAGCTAAAGTAACTTGGTTTTTCGGATAAACGTTTTTTTTAAATGTAGGATCTTCCATATTATTCTGGGCCACGAATTCAAGTGAGTTTTAACATTTTAGTAAATTATTGATTTCCTTAGGAACCACTTCGTTTTTATCCTGTTTCAGACGAAAATAGCAAATTCGAAACTTTAAGATCTAATTTTAATGATCATGTTTCCGAAAGAATGTTACCAAAGGCAACAGGAGATAATAAATATACAGGGGAAATGATTCCAGGATATTCTGGTACGTATACACTTTCCATATTTCAGTTGTTATTTCATAGGTGATATACCTCAAATGAATTTCAAATTTGGTGGAACATATCGTACTCTCTCTGAAGAATGCGTTGATCAGTTAGTCAGAGAATATAAATCTGCTGAGATGAAACGAAATAAATTAAAAGAATCATCTAACTTATTAACTAACCTTCATCCTATAGCACATGATCCTTTAGTTAAGAATCATTTAAATATATGGGCAGATGATATGATGAAGAGGAACTCTGGTGTTTACTCAAACAAGCGTACAACTGAACCACCTATTCCAGGTTATAAAGGTTTTATTCCTCGTATGGATACAACAGAACATGGTTTGGCTAAACGTTTTCATGAAGCCGCTCAAAGTAGCTTAGAAACATTTAGAGCTGAATGTAAAAATCATTTTGATCATATTGATATGCCAGTGACTAGATTAGACACGTAAGTTGAAAAGGTTTTAAATGACGTTTGTAAAGAAAAAAGATAAACGTTAAATTGTTTTTTTCTCATTATGAACTAATTGTTATGATTAAATATAACAAATATGAAACCGTAAAGATGATAAGTCAGAATAGTAGTAGGTTTCTTCTTTCCAAGCATACAAAGAGTAAGTGACTATAGTTTGAATAGAAAGAACTTGCTAATAAGAATGCTATTACTCAACTTGATAGTTTAATAGCAGTTAACCCTTTCGATACATATAAATAATACAGTAGGAAAATAAAGATGACCAGGAAAATGTTATATATATATTAGCAAAATGCATTTAGAATGATCTGGCCATAAATTAACTTGCTACGATATTTATTTGAGAAATAATGGTCATGATCTAAGCCAAACCATCACTGAAGACCTGGAAGCAGTGGACGGCCGTTTTGTCCCAATATGGGGCTCTTCGGTGGTGGGCATCCACGATCCCGCACGCAGGACTCCAATCCGTGACCTTCAGCCTCGTGTGTGAATTCAGCTATTAAAATTACTACAATCTCCACAAATCCCCATTCTGAAAATAAACATTACACTAAACCATTTAGAACTTAAAAAAAACAATATTGGAAAAAGAATAGAAACAATACTGCTCTGTATATTGGAATTAAATCAATAGTTCCAGGGTAGGTTTATTTTAAAGACACAGAGAATGCATGAATTTTGTATAGCTACAGCTTCAGGAAACTTAAATATTCGAATTACATAACTTTTATACGAAACTTCATTGTGTGATTTAACATTTATCTTATAACCCATTTCAGCAGTGGTTACAAATGACGGAAGATAGGTTTTTATCATCTCTTATTGGATCAATGGAATTGATCTGTTCTTAATAGATATTCAGATGTCTGACCAGAGATAATTTGCATCCATTTTCTTATTATACTATGTAAATCATTTTTTCTAATTGGATTTACCAATAGGTGATTTTCATCATCATTAACATGGTATATCATGATTACTTGGTGAGACTCTAACCCAAACATCAAATTATACATAAAATTCCAGAAATAATGGTACTATATTTGTTTAGAAATATAGTCTTATTATGGCAAACAACGACATCACTTAGTATGTATATCACTCGTATGTTAAGGTGTCAGTCACGCTTTCAAAATTTAAACGTATAAAATTGTGCTCTAGGAACAATTTCATAAAAATAAAATCTGGACATGTATCATAAATGTTAAGAAGCAAGAAAGGGGAAACGTAAGAGTTTAATGAAAGTAAACTAGTTTCCTCGTTTATATAAATTAAGGAAATTGATAACAACAAATAGGTTTCAAAGAGTCAAACAAACGAGAATATGAAATGTTAGAAGTAAGAAGATGCAGTGTAATAGAAATGAGGAATGAACTAAATGATTAAAAGTACAGGATATTTGCTTTTTTTTCCTAACAGAACAAATCACGTATTGGAGTATGCAAACTGAAACTACTGAATATTTATAAGTAGTATAAGATTATACACGAAATGATCACAAAGCAGATAATACTAAAAAATAGAATAAATTTCTAAAATTATAATCAGTGTATATATGAATAACCGATAATATATGAACTCATGAACGACATTTGTTTGGACTTGTGCAAACGACCAAAAATTATCAGTTGTAGTTCCGGATGTCAACCATTGGGAAACTACAACCCGTTTAACAAATTAGTGGCAATGTGAACTCAATTGCTCAATGAATAAAGCTTTGAGATTTAGAGAGATCAGTACAGAATTTGAGTCTCAGTATGAAAATAAGTGCCATGATGCAGATAGATCTAGCTAATGAGTATGAAATGCAACAATGCTCACGTCGTGGATTCCATCTATGACCATTTACTCTACATACCACATCATAAGTTCAGAATAGAAAACCAGGTAAAATCCAGGACAAAACAGGATGGCTATTGCTGAATTATTTGAAACTAGAAGAAAACAAATGTAGTATTTTTTTATTGAATAACAACGAGCAATATAATGAAATGAAAAGTGATTGAAGCACAATTTTGAAACGATTTTACTATTCAATATTGTAACTTATTTTGTTATTGGAAGAAGATCAGTATTTGTAATAATGAAATAAGTACATTAGTCGAAATCATAAGCCAATTGAAGCCAGACTACCATGGAAAACTTGGAAGCACTGCTGAGAAATCCTACAATAGGACGAAACGGCCGTCTAGTGCTTCCAGGTTTTCTATGGTGATCTAGCTTCAATTGACTCATGATGTCAACTATTGAAATGACTAAAATGTCCACAAAACCCTTTTCTGAAATAACTACAGTTTGATCATTGAAGTTAATGAATATGATCTTATCCTTGCAAATAATGTTCTCATATATAAATTGTAATTGCTATTCCAGTTGTTCACGTCCACGTACTTCAATACCATATAAACCAAAGAGTAATTATTATAGTGCAAGAATATTTCATCAAGAAGGTATGATACCAGATTATGAAGGTCATATTCATGGTAGGTAAACTACTCTTATTATCATTTAGATAAAATGATTTAATACACTTGTTAATATAAAAAGAAATTTTCTTTACAGAAGTAGCCATTTGCTTCCAGAGGAGGTATTGTAGACAGAGCAGTTGTTGAAGCATCAAATACAGTTGATGCTCCGGTCTGGGCACCCGGGCAGTATCACAGCTCACACACAAATATGATGGTGTGGCGCATGTATATTTGGTGCCCCCTTGTACCAATATTTATGTGTTCAAATAAATAAATAAATAAATAAAGCCATATGCTTCATACATATTAGATATTAATTTTAGTTAATGAAGGCAACATAGTTAAAACACTTATCGGTTTTCTTGCATATTCTAGTTGTATGCTCGTAAGCGGTCATACTAAGTTTCAACGTCATATAAGCTTTCGTTTAGAACTACTTATCTAAAGGTATATGTGACGTCTATTCAACGCAAAAACATTATCATCTAATAGAAACTTATTATTCTACTTATTTACAGTGGTCTTGAGTTCTGTTAGAGGTTGGAAACACGACTCAGAATCGATCACAATGGTGTAGGTGTATACACTCTTTATCTTCCCTTAAACTGTAAGATTAAAATCGCTTCATATTTTTCTTTCTACAAACTAATTCTTTCTCCTTGTATCACATCCTTATATGCAATCCTTCTTTTATATATTACTACTATTGAAGTAACTGGTTTTATGAATTCGGTGTTCATCTTGTTGTGTTAATGAGGTATGACAACTTGGATTGATGCATATATGTGCGTGGTCCTACATTGTAGCTGACTGACTGATTCTCCTTTATAAATGCAGAAATGTATCATAAACTTTTAAATTTGTTTATCTCATCAATTAAGTCACAACTATCAAGTAGCTTGCAACTGTTAGTACTTTATATAAGGTGAAAAATGAAGTATGATTTAAATCAGGTGTTGAGTTTAAATGAATGAATGAATGAATGAATGAATGAATGAAAAACACTATCTTCAATATTGAAAGTTAAAGAATAAATTGGGAAAAAGAAAGAAAATACCAAACTCAATAAGTAAGACCATTTGAATGGATAAATAAACTTTCATTACAGCTCAGTATCATTAAAATTATTTTACTTAAAATTATAAAACTTATCAATAGGATCTGTAAATGACTTTTCTTAATATAGAACCTTCAGTATTGTGATGAATGTTTCCATCATCTGATCATATTAAGATCTAGATCAAATGATCATACTTTATCTCTTAGCCTTGATATGATCCCAATTTTCTTCATAAGGAATAGTTGATAGAAGGAATTTCCATTTTCTCAGTTGCTATGATGTTGGGTTTCCTAAACTGTTTCATTTTGCTTTTAGATTCAATATTCCAAAATTCCACGTTTACTTATATTAATTTCCATTCATAAAGTAACGAATCTACGTAAAAACAAATCATACTACTTATATAGTTTTGTATTTATGGTATTCTGTATAGTATAGTATTCTGTGCAGAGTGCTTTTCTGAAATTATAACACAATAATCTGTTATAGTCTATCTAATATTTACAGGGTTAGTTTACTATTTTTGAACAGTATATCTATAAGTAGAACATATGTAGTTCATTTACTATGAGATTGTTGTTGAGTGATTATACCAGTAAACTTTCAACTAATTTCAACAGTTGAGGTCATGAGCACTGCTGAGGAGCCCCACAATAGGAAGAAGCGGCCGTCCAGTGCTTCCAGGTTTTCCATGATGGTCTAGCTTCAATTGACTCATGATCTCAACTATTGAAATTACTACAATCTGCACAAAACCCCTTCTGATACTTTCAACTAATGACTATAAATTCAAACTCTGTCCCAATAAATTTGATGTAAGTAATTGGGCAGTATCTAAGATGAGTTTATAACATATATATTATATTTGTGTATAATTCACTTTATGTTTAAACATTGCTTCATTCATTGATTTAGACTTCCAAACTTTTCTAAAACTCAAAATACAATTTTACTACATTTTGTATTATTCCCTTAATGAATTTCAATAGACAACTGCATCTCTCTTCTAATGTGGTATGGCGACTTGAACTGATGTACGTACGTACGTACGTCTACGCTGATACTGACTGATTGATTGACTGAATACTATCTGGTATTTGATGAATTGCTATAGTATATGGTTGGTTAAGTTTCACGAAGGTATCTCCAATCAATACTTCAATGGTATTGGATCATTAATCACAAGTTCATAAACGTTTAGTTGGAACTAGTGAACACAGAAATACCATATGATTGAGTTATGCAATGATAGTAATGAAATCAACTGTACTCATTTCACTTCAATGTAGTATCTTTGTCAGATGTAAAAGAATTCCAAATGGTATTACAAATAACTGATTGGCACTAAATAGTTTATTGCTTCAAATGTATGTTTACTCAATAATAATAATAATAATAATAATAATAATAATAATAATAATAATAATAATAATAATAATAAACATCAAACATAATGACGTATAGTAATCGGAAATGATGTTGTCTTTGTTCTATGTATTGTATTGATGATGGATAACTGATATTTATGTTGTTTTCATTGAAATTGTTTAATTATATCACTTGGATATATGATTTTAAATCATGATAGTAGTTAAGTGAATCCATATGGAAAATGACATGTTTATTTTATGAATAAGATAAATAACTAGTGAAGTATTGATTTCAGCTTATCTAGGTTGTTCCTAGTGTAGTATGAAAACGCTTAATATGACAAAATGATATTGGAAAACATTTCAGTTACATCGTGGCAATTGATGATTATTTAATCATTTAAATGTTTTGTTGTATGTTACACCTTATCAACCTTTATTTGTACTACAGTTATGTTTATTCAAGCCTAAACTGTATCAATGAGTCGATTATTTATTTATTTGAACACATAAATATTCGTACAAAGGGGCAACGAATACATATGCGTCACACAAGTCGCCTTATTTGTGTGTGGGTTGTGATACTGCCCAGCTGACCAAACCGACGTAGGTGGTTTACTTAGTGGGCTACACCCCGAGCTGTTGACCTAAAGATCTAACCTAAAAGACAGTGGAGCAACTGCAGCCCGTAACCAACAATAGTTTCACACGCCATTTATTCCCTTATTATCTTGGAGCTCATGTACACCATTGGTTTGTAATCAGGGTTTTCCAACTCCTTCAAATGTTATCCTCCATACCATCAAATCGTGTAAAGCTCCAGACATTCGGTTTTCGTCCTTTTCTATTTTCGTAAACAACACTGGTGACGCAAGAAGGCAATGAGTAGCACCTCAATTATGTAACTCCAATAGACTCTCTCTCTTTTACATCATCAATTATTGGTCATGTAAACAAATAAACTTTATTATTTAACTTCTTTTTTTCTCAATTTCTATTATGAATAGGTTATCAATATCATGTTGGCAAAAATTTCGGTAATACAACACGTGATTTAGAAGTATGTGCACATCCATATTCATGTTATGGGGAATATGTGAAAATAAAAGATTTAACATCAAAATATCTTTCATAAAAATAACAAACAGATTTAATTTTTCTTTTTCTTTTGTTTTTTTTTTGATTTTTTATTTTGTTTTCATTACTTTAAGCCGATAACATGACGTTTATATTTGAGAGAGCGCCAAAAAATCACTTGTTTCTATCTTCATTCATGACCTTGTGCGTATGCATGCGCGTGCGCGCATGTGTGTGTGATACTCCTTTTTTTCTGACGTGATTAATTTTTTTTCATTTTGATGAGACTTTTTTGTTTATTTTTTTGTTGTTTTGATTTTAGTTATTTCACTTTTTTAATTATCAACAAGATGAATTGAATTCGTATTTTTCTTTTTATAAATAGAGATAAAGATGTTTATTTTTTGTTGTTGTCAAGGCATGAGACAATCATTAAAACAAAAAAAGAGAAAAAACTTTGAACATTTATGAATATTTTTGTTTATTTATTTCATTCAATAAAATAATCAATAATTTTCATATCATTTGTTGTTTTTCTATGTTTTTTTTATTTTTATTTTCGTTGATTTATCAAAATAGAATATGATTGTCATATTCTTGAGTGCTATTAAAGGTATGAGGGCGGTTGTCACTTACCGGTTGCCCACACCGTGAAAGGGTTCTTCTGGAGGTATCTGAAGAGTGAATTATATTGGAGGTAGTCTTAGTGACCTGAGAGTGTGAGCACAGTGCCCAAGAGAGAACTGCTTGATGTCGATCACACACGATCTTTTTATGAGTAATTTTTGTGTTAGCTCCGCACTTGTTGAGACCTTACCGCCGGAGACGGATATCCGTGGGATAAGGCAAGGTGTGTATTTTAGGGTCGACCTTTTCTAACCCCACCTCTCCTTGTGGGAAGGCAGCATCGATGTCATGCTGGTTGTCTGAAGGAAACATCTTACTGCTGTCACACCTCTGTACAGTTAGCAGTACGACTTCGCCTTCGGACCTTGGGTTTGTTGCTTTTACTCTTACCGCTCTTCAAGCGACCTGTCTGGGATGTTAGCACCTTGAGGAATGGTTGTTCCAGCCAGTATAGCTCGGTTCCTTCACCGCGATAGGCAAGCTCGACCACCACGTCAAGATAGCAACAACGGTCGGGTATTTTCATATTAGTTTATATATGATAGATTTTATATGAACCTATTGTACTAGTTGGATCGTTTTATAATGTAAATTCTTCATTGAAAGATGTTAAAGCGAGATTATAATTTATAGACGTACTAGTCAGGTAAAAGATAACAGATCTTAAATTTCGGCGCGAAATTCATTCATTCATTTGGTTAAATAGCGTCTTGGTATTTTGGCTGATATTAGTTTGTGATGACAATCCGTAAATCTAATCCCTATTCCTAACTATCAACTGTAAATTACAATCCTTATTCTTTACACAGATTTAAAACCTTCATTTAGCCTTAGTCAGTAACTGGACATTCTTAAGACCACTTTAGCGTCACTCAGATGTCATCCATAAATTAAAGTTTCACCGATGTTAAGCAATTGCAGTTATGAGATCACTAATGAAAAGCTCCAAGATGGGTTCCAATTGTTCTAGTGAGATTATGCGAATGATAGAGTTTCATAATGTCATATTTCATATTGTTATTCATTGGTAGCACTGAATATTTATCTTACTGAATTGTGAAGTGATTTTTTTTTAAAAACACAAACCATTAGATCTTATCTTGGTTTATTGAAACAATGAGTTTGATATAAGACTTGACTGATTTTCGAGTGATCGATTCCCAAATAAAACAGAACACAATCCAATGTCTTAAAGTTTTCAATTCATTTTCAGTTTAAATTAGTCCTTCGAACATTTTGTCATTACAGCTAGTAAATATATTATTATTATCAGCTTTATTCAATATTATATTTTTGGTAAAATATAGAATTCTCAACACAAAGTATTTCAACAAGTCACTGTTTTTTACTTCTTGGCCGATCCTGACGATAAATATTGAGTGATCGCCAGTTAGATGTTAGCAGTTCAGTAAATGAACATCTGAATAATGTACATTCTTTTCGTTGTATATTGCCAGCAACTATATTGTCTCTTATTGAGCTTTTTGTAACTTTGACAACGAAAGGTTGTACACTTTTCAGAAACGCAGCAGAATAGGTTATGCAATTAATAAACATAACGATATATTAAAACAAACAAAAATAGATAACTTGTCGAAATATCTAGATGGAAGGAACAGGTGGCCCAGATGCTCAAGCAGGCCGCCCTTTAAACATTTTAAGGCTACAGTGATAGAATTAGAAATTATTTGAAGAAAAGACAACTCGACAATATTTATCTTTTGGGGAGATAAACTTTAACTCAACTATTTGAAACGTAATTGGTGAATTCCTCCCATATTTCATTTAGAAATTAACATTTATTTATTCAAACACATAAACATTGGTACAAGGAGGCACCAAATAGATATGCATCACATAAATCATTTGATTTATGTAAGGGATAGGATTACTGCCCAGGTGACCAAACCGAAGCAGGTGGTTTACTTAGTGGGCTACATCTCGAGCTATTGACGTAAAGGTCTAATCCAAAAGACAGTGGAGCAAAGTCAGGAGATGCAGTTTCATGGTAGCCGGTGACCAACAATTGGTTCATACACCATTTGTTCCTTCAGGATACTGGGGCCAATGTACACCATTGGTTTATAATGCGGGTTTTCGAACTCCGCTAGGTGGATCCTCCATATCCAACAACCCGGTTAAAGCTCCGGACATTCGCTTTTCGTCCTCTCGAATTCGTAAACAACACTGGTGACGCGAGAAGGTAGTGGGTAGGACTGAACTATAAAAAGATGAAAATAACAGTAAGGGAAGGACAAAAAGCCGTGGCAGTATAATATGAATTCATTTATGTTGTGGATTCTCCTCAGTTGTTTACAACTTAAAACTGCAGTATTTTTGATCAAAATGAAACAAGTGTATGTATTTACATTGGAAGCGTATAGAATAAATCGAGTTAATATATGGAGGGAGAATAATATGTAGAGACATAATACGCAAGAAAGAACACTGTTAATTTGTTTGGTCATTTATACTCTAAATATATGAATATTTTAGAAGTTAATGGTAACAGAATTTCTTGAAACTGAAGACAGATTACGTAACACAGACTTATTGAGTAAAGCTCAGAAGTAAGAATTAAGATATTAGAGATTCTAACCAACTTTGTGGGAAGGTGTCTTACTTAATAATCTCACAAAGTTAAGGTCATCATGGCATAGTGATATTGATAACTGAGAAGAGATGGGTGATGACTATCAGAGGAATCCAATACATATGTTTCATCTTTCTTGATACTCGTCAGCCTGATGAACTTGCCTCCCAGAGTTGATGTTCACTCATGTACTGATTCCAACGCTAGACACCACCCATCTCTGATTAAAAATATTTGTAACTTACTGGCAATATCGAGTAAGTCCGCACGGGATTCATGTATGCCGAAAGAGTTTGATCTGTCGCAGTCCTAAACATCAGTCGGCGATCCAAAGAACCAATTTATATGAATTAAAATAAAGATTGATAACTGTTTCTATTTAGATACATAAGTTAGGTTTGAACCTTTTTATTATAACAACTTTGGCAAAGCGTAACAATTTTAAATTCTTTTGTTTATTGATTATTTTGAAAGATTTGGAAACTTCAACAGCATGGCCACTGTAGATCAAACGGTTAGAAAACGCGCTGTTGAAAACCTTCTGTCTGTTAAATCTCAACTTTTGTGGAATTCGTTCCTGAACCCTCTTTTCTGTCCTTCAGACGTATGTTCCTTGGAGGGTACGTGTAAACTGATAAACACAACTTGGAAATAACATAAGACGAATAGTGGTCAACATTTAATTGTCGCAATGAGTATTCAGTTTGTTATAGAGACACCAACTTGATAGCTGGATACGTACTTTTTTATTATTCAAGTTTATAAATGGTAAAAATTGTATAGGAGGTTGAAATAATGAGAAGAGGCTTGTAGACCATTTTGATGGCATAATTTATAAAAATTCATCTTGATGATTTAGTCTAAGATGCTATGGTCAGAGTATTTAATATATCTGAAAATTCAAAAATATTTTCTGAGTTTAGTAAATTTGTAGCAGCGTACTCATTTCTAGAGCAATTTGGATGACTCTCCCGGTCTCCCAAAGTGTACGAGCATTCCATGTACCTAAATTAATGGTTTCTCTGGCTGTTAGAAGGGGTATCAGCCATGAGGCGTTATAGATCTTCGAAACGAAGATCTTCTAACTCCCAGGGAGAAGTTTAAACGATTCGAATTATTTTTTTCTGGTTGGCGTTTTTTACCAAGTTAGTTTTCTACGGCGGCCTATGCCCCATTGGGAGTAACAGGAGTAAGTAAGCAACGTATTTCTGAACCTTCTACGATTTCGGTGCAGTTCTAGTGTGAGAAAAAAACACGTAATCAAGATTTTGGGCAGAGCATTAAAACATGTTGGATTGACTTTATTAAGTATAAACTTAACTGGACCACTAAACATCTAAATCATGTTTGGTACGGATCAAACAATAATTAAATAAATTGATGTGAATTAGACTTCTAGATCACTTATATTTCACTGTAATACAGATTTATAATTATTTGATAGTAGTGAGAACGCTGTTTTTTTAAATGGAGTTTTGTTCTCTGGGCTGGATGCTTTGGTCGCGGAGTTTTCATCTTTCTTATGAACGATGTCATCAACACAAACCATCCAGTTCAGAGAACAAAACTTCATCAAAATCATCCACCTGAGCAATAAATCTTCTCCTCCATGTCAAGTGAGTATACTGTGCTAAGATCGACAAAAATAAACTCATGAATATTTTGTTAACTGATAAGAAATCGTTCTCAGTTAGATTGTCAATAGTTCTATCTATTTAAATTCATTTGTTTGAGATCTAGTACGTCCAACTCAAGTTGAAAAAACTCTTCCTAATAGTCCATCTCTTTCACTGATCCTTCAGTTGTAAATATTTTATATTAGCTCTATGGTAGCATCTACATTTTTAATTCATTATGCAGTGAATTAATGAGTCCAAATCGATAAGTCTTGTCATTGAAACGCTACTTGTTCTGTCTAGTTATCGCTGATTATCATGTCGAAATCGCTTGTCATTTATACGCGAAAACCAGGAAACACTTTAATTTCCATGATGCGAAAGCAAGAACACAAAGACTGGTACAAACGAAGATTTTTTAACTCCAAAAACACGACGATGATGACGACCCTAGTCGAAAATACACTCATTTATATTTTGATTCGTACACCCATTTTGATTATCAATTAGGACGAAATCACATATATGAAACATATTTGAGGCTAAAACAAATCATATGCTACATGTCATTGCTGAGTATAGTTCAAGTCAGTTGAATACAAGAATATCGTATATTATCACAATTGCTTGATCACTGGGTGACGATCAATGCCATGCGTGTCTAGTCCTTCTTAGTGCAGATCGAA